GAAGGCTAATTGGATTGGTCATGTTTTATGCAGAAACTGCCTTCTAAAAGAAGTTATCGAAGGAAAGATAGAGGGGCGGATAGAAGTGACAAGAAGACGAGGAAGAAGACATAAGAAGATGCTGGATGACCTTGGGGACAGAAGAGGATATTCTCATTTGAAGGAGAAAGCTCTAGATTGCATTAAATGGAGGAACTGTTTTGGAAGAGACTGTGGACCTGTCATCTTGACAGATTACTGATGAATGAATGAATGAATGAAAAGTAACCCTCACTCATTCTCATTATTCAGTTCAGTCATTGTTTCTTCTAATCCTTAGTCATTCCTTCTTCAGACAAGAGCTTGAGGATTGGTTAAGTAGGGTGTTTTATCTCTTCTCTTCCTTCTCTCTTTCTTTTTACATGAAAGCCCCATACATTCTGGTTTTTAGTATATATGTACTGTTTCATAATTCTTCATTCTAATTTTAGGTTAGTGGAAAAATGGACAGTGGAGAAATAGTAGAGGGTGAATATAACACCATTCTCTTTGCTGTGGGACGTACAGCCTGTACAGAAAACATTGGCCTTGAACACATTGATGTGAAGATTAACCCAAGGTAATACTGTGGAGTATCAGAAGTACAGAGAATTACTGTGAGATCTATTGTGTACACCATTAATTCCCTATAATTTCTTTCAGTAATGGGAAAATAATTGTGGACAAAGAAGAGCGTACATCTGTGAGCAATGTATATGCTGTTGGAGATGTTATTGATGGGAAACTCGAGTTGACGCCAGTTGCAATACAAGCAGGAAAGCTGTTGGCTCAGGTAATTGCAGCATACCTGGACTCAGTATTGTTAATAGATCCCCGTAATTAGTTTGCAAACTGTCTGCATTGATGGTGTGTGCAGTTGTTACTAGGTACAGTATGTTAAAGTTCAGCAGTTCATTTAATTCTTTTAAGTGCTTTTGGATATTCAAGAAATTCACCACTGTTTATGGAACTTGGGGTTCTCTTTAGTGAACCATCTATGAATAACAAATAGAAATAAAACACCATGAATAACAGTTGTTACTCGCAAGACACCTTATTGCCTAATATGGACTGCCATTACTTATTATGAATATGCTCACATTCGCACATAATGGGTGAAGTTCTACACGTATATTCTCCAGTTTATGTGTAGGTTATCCAAGTGGTCACTTTGAGTCGGCTTTATGGACCAAAAGTTTGTTGAATTTGCTTGCTGCATGTCATGGCTGCCTCATACCCTTTCTTGTAAAAACTGTAGTAAAATGCTAAAAATTGTTTTTGTTTTTCTGATATTAAATTTAAAGAAGGCAAGCTGTATGGTACACATGGTAGCTTTGCCACCGATTACTGTAATCGTAAACATTTTATATGAAATGCATATAAAAGAAGTGACCAGTATTTTACTTTTCTGCAGTCATGTTCTTGCTCTGTTGTGTTAAGAGATTTGTGCTGTTTAATTCTAATAACTTTTCATAAATAAAATATTTATATTGCAGAGATTGTATAATAATCAGACAACCCTCACAGATTACGTAAATGTTCCTACAACAGTATTCACTCCTTTGGAGTATGGATTTGTGGGCTTGTCTGAAGAAGATGCGATTAAGCACTATGGCAGTGATGACATTGAAGTATACCACAGTTTCTTCCAACCACTGGAATATGCTCTGACAGATCGGGACAGCAACAAGTGTTATGGAAAACTTGTTTGTGTCAAGAGTGAAGAGGTAAGGAATTATGCAGGGAGTTCCAAATCCTTTTATTCTGAATCACTTTTTATTCTTTCTTGTTTAATCCTCATATACCATTGAGTCTTACATACACGAAATGCACCCAGCTCAAATTTTGACACTTCTGACCTGTATCTGCGGGATGCCCAGTTGAAATCCCATCCAGGACATCAGGTATCTTGACTGAGGATTGTTCATGTTTTTCCTCACTCCGTCCAGGCAAATTCTGGTGTAGTGCCTCAAATTAGGCCACACCCTCTTCCTTCCACATCTTTCCAATTCATTATTCACTGACTGTCCTATGATCAGACGCTATGTAGGAAGGTTCGGCTGCAAAACTCTTAACCACTAGTTTAGATGTTGAATTGTCACTTGTCAGTATTTTTAGTATCTTGTTGTGTCTGTATATCTGTGTTTATTGTCTGACCAAGCCTCTCCAGCATCCAGGGTATTTTCTTCTTCTGCTTTGTATTGTTCATGCTAGTTTGGATGAACTTAATGTTAGAGAACTCAAGCACTTCCATGTAAACACTCTGAGGGGTTGCCATTAAATGAAACCATAAGTAAAATATATTACTTTTTGTGTTTGAGAAATGCCACATAGAATGTTGAAGGATTCCAGTGTTTCAGTAAACACTGCAGTTACAATCTTCAGGTTAATGACTTTTGGGGGAGTTTCAGAGCCCTAATGCATAATTTGGCAGTGGACAGTGAGCTGTTGAAGGTGGGGCTGTGGAACAGGCTGGTGTCTGACAAGGGATGACCACACTTGAGCAGAAGGGGCCATGGAACTTTTTTTTTTGGCCTGGTGTTCATGAAGAGAGGTGGTGAAAGATATGTTTACAAATCAGTGTTTAGGACAGGAGATAATGGAACTGTCTTTAGCGACCATGTGATACTAAGAAGAGCTTTCTTTCTTTAATGAAATATATAAATCCTGCCAATTTTACCTGATAATTCTTTAGGACAATTAGCAGAACTGCTGTAATTAGTTTTATAATAGTTAATTGAATTTGACTGGCTGATAAATTGATAGAAAACCACAAGTCAGTCTACTGTATTGTGTAAAACATAAAATATTCACTGTTCTTTTGTATGTGACACTCAGTTGCATGTCACTGTGCAAGGATATCTTACTGAATATGTTCTTTGGCAGAGGTCTATGAATAAATGTCTTGTTGAACTGGAACTCTTTATTTGGTGCAGTAGTGTTGGAAATTCAGATTGGTGATATTGTAACAGTGAATCATTTGCCATTCAGAACCTTGTTTCAGTTTCATTTGATTTATGTCCAGATTTGACACACATTTCACTGTATGTTCAGCAGATTTCAGAAGTTTTTGCCACAGTGCAGATACCATTTTCATTGCCTCCCACCCTGCTACACCATTTTTCTCAGATGTTTCACACAGATTATAGTAGGTCATACTGCTCTCTGACATTATGCCTAAAACTAACTACAAACATATCTCTATGCCTTCTGCTACTAGCTCTGTGGCAAACTGACTGCAGTAAACTTTGACTGTGGTTAGATTGAGAGTGCAGCGCTGTCATGACACAGACGGAGGCCACAAAGTGTCATCTGATAATAACGCATCTATAAATGATCTACTTAGACTGATGGCTGAAGTCCAGATTTTTTAAATTATTGTTTGGCACTCTGAACATAAGATTTATGTTGCATTCAAGATCGGTGGGGGAAACCAAAGAACCCAGCCACTTTGTCTACCACAAATCATGAATGACCTGTTCTGGGATCAAACCTATGCTGTCACTTTGGGAAGCCGTGACTAACAGCCTGAGCTATGACATGGAACAGGTGCTGGTGATACAGTCCCATCCCAGTTGCTTTAGCACCTCATGTCTGGTGAATGTAACCAGCTTGCTCCCATTGTTTCTCAGACATTGCTTTGCCCTTTAATGCATGCTGTGGCAAAAATATTTGGAAATAGCTGTTGTTTAGTTTGCTTACCAAGGAAGTTAACTGTTTTCTTTTTTTGTTGGAGAGACATACTCGAGCAGTTCTTATAGAAAACAAGTGAAGTATTATGGGTAATAATTGTTTATCTGTCATTTGCAGGAGCGTGTGGTTGGTTTCCATGTACTTTCGCCACACGCTGGTGAAATAACTCAGGGATTTGCCATTGGAGTGAAGCTAAGAGCAAAGAAGTCAGATTTTGCTAACTTGATTGGCATTCATCCCACATCAGCTGAGGTAGGTCTGCACAAGAATTCAGTCAGTAGGGAAAATATAACTTGCATTAGCAGATTTCATATTTTATGAAAACTCAAATAACAACACAGATAATATTTCAGTTAACTTTTATTGCTCAAGTTTTGCACTATTTCAACAGTATGTGTTCACTGTTCTGCTGGCCAAGTGTTGCATTTTTTTGCTATTAATGCCATGGTCCCAGAGTTAAATTTACCTGTCATGCCCATAGTAAGGGATATGAAGTCAGGTGATAAAGGTTATCATCATTCAAGAGTATGCAAGTGATTTTTGAACATTTGATTTGTTTCATTCTGGTCCGTCACACTAACAATTACAAAGGCAAAAATAATACTGTCTAATGTGACTATTTAAGTTTTATCACTTGAGGATTTATCTCCCTTACATGTTTCAGTCCTTATGGATCATCCTGAGAGGGTATCAATACTTTCAGAAACTACTATTACAGTAGATGTTAATTGTATGGATACACATAATGCATAAAATGCATACTATACGCAATGTTCAACCTTCCACATTCACAGCGGCCTTCTTGGTGTTAAAACTTTTTAAAGAAGTTTGTTTTAAAAAACTTTCAAAATCAAGCTTAAAATTTATGAACCATACAGGTTCGCGTCAATTCTCCTATTATTCGTAGAGGTGGCTGGTCCTATGCTGCCTGTTTATCTTGCGAAAGGAGATCCTTAGTATTTCCGTGTTTATTCGTGGCCTGCTGTGTTGTTTACACCTCTACGAATAATAGGAGAATTGACGCGAACCTGTATGGTTCATAAATTTTAAGCTTGATTTTGAAAGTTTTTTAAAACAAACTTCTTTAAAATTTTTAACACCAAGAAGGCCGCTGTGAATGTGGAAGGTTTAACATTGCGTATATTACGCATTTTAGACATCATATGTGTATCCATACAATTAACATCTATTGTAATAGTAGTTTCCGAAAGTACTGATACCCTCTCAGGATGATCCGTAAGGATTGAAACATGTAAGGGAGATAAATCCTCAAGTGATAAAACTTAAATAGTCACATTAGACGATATTATTTTTGCCTATGTAATTTTTGAACAGTTGTGCAGTGTTGTCATAACTTCTTTACAATTCACAAGTTCTGTGATGATGCTGCCATCTTTGTTAATCTTGAGAAATGCTGGTAGTGTTAATCTGACTTATGTTATCAATTCTCAAATACATAGGCCATACCAAAGTCATAAAGACATTTAATTTATATTGAGAAAAAGGTACTTGTACAAAAACAGGTTCCTTCTTGGGTTACTGGAGATGCTTGTCTACTTGCAAAGCGTATGCAGCAGATGCATTGAGGAAAGCTTCCAAAGCAGTAGTGGCTGCATATCCATACTACTGACAGTACAAGGAAAATGTGTACATGTAATTCTTCAACTGTGTTGAATGCCAAGTGACTTACGAATTAAATTCACTGAGGACCGTGCATAATATAAGATGTTGTTACAAGTAAAACCCACATTGAATAGTGCTGTCTCCTGGGATATAATGCTGTTTAGTTCATTGAAAGTCAACTGAAATTTTGAAGCAATATATTGCTTCCATCTTCAGGGTTGAAGAATAAACCAAGCTGGTATCTTGCTTTGCTTATTCTCGAACCCTGAGGATGGAGGCGATATGTTCCTCTGAAATGTCAGTTGACTTTCGACGGACTACACGGTGTTATATCCCTTTGTAACCGCTGGTGTGGGAATCGGAAAACTCACATAATTGCATCTTTTAAGTTTCATCCTACGACCCCTAGATATATTTAAAATTATAGACATAATTTCATATTCTGTCTTGGCTTTATATACAATAATTCAGTGGAACTGCATCCAGCATCTAATGTAAAGAAGTTACAGTATATAGATCATTAATCTGTTTTGTTTGTAAATGTTCACGTAAAGATTATCATATTTGTTACAGTTTTAATAAATAAAACAATTAGTTGGTCACTACTGATATGCCATCTGTGAATATTGTATAGACAGCAAATGAAACAACAGGTTATTTCTACTGCCACGTTCTAACCATGTTATTAACCAACATTATAAATTGTAACGAACTGAACCTCTGTGTTGCAGATATTTACCACGCTTAACATCACAAAATCATCTGGAGAAAGTGTTGCAAAAACATCCTGCTGAGGTTAAAGCATGCTATTACTTGAAAATATGAAAATTTTGAAATAATTAACTGCTGTTATTTCAAACTTAATCATATTTTCAAAGTGATAGCAATGCTGTTTCTGACTAGGCTCTAGGGTGTCTTCGAGGCAGGTATGACAACTCTGTCCGAAACCTTTGGGTGGGCAGGGTTTGATGGGATCCCTTCTAACCTCACTGATGATTTCCCAGTTAGACTTGAAGTGTATTTTTCATGATATCTTCAATTTGGTATGCGTGGAGCTATGTTAAAAATATTAAAACAGTTCACTTCTTCTTAGCTTTTCAGCTATTTTTAATTTGTATTTAAAAGGAAGGTATTTAATTTGTTAATAAGTAATAGTATAATACAATTTACGATATTGTTATGAGACCAAGTTGTTAAGATATCTTGTTGGATTTAAAGGACTGCTTCGCTTGAAAGAGTTATGTAAATATTGGGTCAGTGTGATGAGAGTTTGGCTAATGTAGTTTTGTATATGAAGGAAATTGTGATAATTCGACTTGAAACCAATAGGTGGACATCATGGTAGTAGATGCAGAGCTCTGGAAGTGTGTAAAAATTTTTTCTTACACTTGGCTATCTTCAATTAATCATACCATCTGTAGTTTCCATAGTATTTATTGCACCTACATACACACAAAAAAGTAATTTTTCTTCATGTTGAATCATTGTTTTCAAGCCATTAGCAGAAATACACTAGCAGTCTGCAATATTTCACATTAAAGAACAGCAAATCTTCTGTCTAAGAAATCATGAAAAATATGTGCACCCTCTAGTGACAGAGGGAAAAGCTGCTTGCTCAGCATGGTTACAGAATGAAAAAATTGTTGACCTTGTTTAAGCCTAATTTTAAATGACCAAACCCCTGTGCAGAAGTTTGGACATTTGTAAATGATGAAACATTTTCATAGGAACAAATGTGTTGACAGTTGTCATGTTTTCTGTCACATGTTTTGATTTACAGTTTGAGCAATAAAACACATGCATAAACTTAATGCCTCTTCACTTCATCAGTCAGTGTTGTAATTATGAGGATGCATTACAAAAACATAAATCAGTTTTCTGGCTTCATTTATGACTCTCTCACCCTCTTCCTTTGTCTTCTTATATCTCTTTTGCTGTGTACTTCAAAAGTCATATTTGAAAACTTCCCCAACATTTAACAGAGTTTGCAGATATACATGTCAGACAAACAAACACACAACAACAATAATAATAATAATAATAATAGTACTTCCTCTGCCTTCATGTTTTTATTATTCCACTACGCTTTTAGTTCTAACAAACCATCGTCAGGTGAATAATCATTATACACAAAGGTTCATAGTTATGCTACAGTAGGATAACTTATATTGTCTAATGCTGGATCCATTGTTAAGCATTATTGGATGTCCAGATGAAAGGTATCCAAAATAAAAAATTTATATCTTGGAAAGTAATTGTCATACATGTATCAGTTTATGTCATCGGAAAGGAAAACCCTGTAAGCTTTTTTTCCTTCCATGCCCTGCTTACGACCATGCGCCGCCACATTTCTGCCGCCATGTTAGGAATCACTTGGACAGAGTGACGGCTCGGAGATAGATCAGCAGAAGTGGATCAGTCGCTAGGCCTCCTAGGGCACCAGATTTAACCCCACTGAATTTTTTCTTGTGCGGTTGTGTGAAGAACGTTGTCTACCAGGTTAAGATCAACGAGCTTCAGCAAACCCGCATAAGTGACGCTGTGGCTACGGTAACATCAAACATGCTTCAAACCTGGATATTTGTCATGCCACCAAGGGAGCCCACATTGAAATTTATTGAGAAAGTTATATGCGCAGAAAAAACTTTGATAGTTTCCCTCTGTAGTGGTGTAACCCATAAATGTGTATAATAACAGCTTTCTGAGATATAATGATTCTATTTTGGGTACCTTTCATCCGGACACCCTGTATATAGTGCATTGAAAGTGCCATGTAATCAGTGGGCACACGGTTAAGAAATATATATAAAAATACGTAGTTTGATGGTTATAACTGATGTAGTTAATAAGAGAAATAAGTGTTATTAAAATGCCATTCTTCTTCTGTGTATGAAAGTTAAATAGTTAAAATAGATACCTTCATATCATTAAAAGTTTGAGAACAGGAGAAAGGCAACAGTTAACAGATATATGGAATTACAGTGCTGTTTTCAGCAACATAGCTTTTGTAGTACTGCATGTTTTCTTGCTAATCTTGGGATGGCACTTGCAAAGAACTGTACATCCAGCGTTTAGGTACCTATGGTATTCATCTTAACTGTATCAGTAGATAGGCGCCCTTGTTCATAGATGTCTTTGAAATTATGAATGCAGATTGAAAATGGAAATACAGTAGAACTTGGTTATAACATCATCAAAGGGACCTAAAAATAGTGTCGTTATAAACGAATGTCGCTGTAACCGAAATGGGCACTTCTACAGTAGCCTTATGTTAGTCACGTAAAAATCTACCAAAATCCGAGTTAAATGTTGCATTTTTTAGTGAAAAACATAGTTAAGTACAGACTAACGTAACATTAACGTGGAATTGCCCAAATGTGTAATATCAAAGACATAATACAGCGCTTTTCACTGACAATACACACAATATTTCACGAATCACTTTAACTTTCTCTTCAATGCTTAAAACTTTCCTTTTCATTGCCATGTTTTCGCTACTGCACTTCTCTGGGTTTAGGCAGGAACACTATAGGGTAAGTAGACAATGTGAGGTCCTGTTAGACGAGATTCTAGGAAAGGAATGCAGTTAACAACCTGCCGCGTCCTCTTGCACTATTCACGCAGTCCCACACCACACCCTTGTTTTCGCATAAAACCCACGCTCCTCTTGCAGCCCGCGGTCGTATTCTTCCAGGACAGTCACGTCAGCAAGTAGAGGAAGTGAGGGTGGGCAGACACATCGAACTTTCCCACGATATCAGAGAAATTCAGGAATGAAAATGACGTTACATACGAGGTTGATGCATTTGTGCATGTCGTACTAAGCAAGGTATAAAAACAGTTGCTTTATGAGGAATTAGTTCGTACCATGGAATATTTGACGCAATAGACAAGGTGTCGCAGAAACCGATGTTGCTATAACCAAGTTTTACTGTATATTGCACTTGATTTTCTGTTCATTATGTGCTTGGTTGAAAGTCACAGGTTAATGCTAGTGGGGTGGGACTAAGACAGGTTAGTTACTGTGGTTGTTGTGAGCTTCATGTCTGAATTGGATGAAATGTGGATGGCTAACATTGCTGAGGGTTTATGGGTGAGTGACACTGTGTTATACCAAAGATCTTTCTTATTGGTTTGTGTTCTGTTTAATTCAGTGCCTTGTTTGTTGGCTTGATAACTATAAAATATTTATAGTATATATTATTCCCTTTGTTTATCTTGAATAAAATTTCAAGCGAGGCTTTGAGAGTCTATAAGAGAGGCCCATTTTCAGAATATGCTGTGCACAACCAGAGGGTTGGTTCTCTTGTGTGATTGCCTGCATGTGTGCCTTGTATTTGTTTCTAAAGGTTCTCTCTGTCCAGTGACAGTACACACCTTACAGTTAAAGAGGATTTGATTCTGAAGGGCCCTGGTGGTGGTGTGTAACGCTCAGAATTACTGGGTTTTCAGACTTTGTCTAAAAAACAGAAGAAGCAACATTTTGGAAACTGGATCTGTTTCCATCCTAAGGTGAGTGGGGAGAAACCTATTTTGTTGGGTCCCTTAGAAAGAGCAAACCTCAGTCACTGGACCGGTGACTACTGTGGTTCAGTCCTTCTGCACTGTGACTGTACCTCAGCTGGTGGCTGAGGTACGGTGACAGTTCACAAACCCAGAGGAAGGGGAATGCCCGTTGTTGGTAGCCGTTACTAGAAAACCGGTGAAGACACAGCAGGCTGAGAAGACTTTAAAGTGAATTGCAGTGTGTGAATTAGCAATAACACTTCAGTTACTTGTAGTTACAAGTTGTGTGCATAAGTGTTCAATAAATGTAAGTACCAATCCAGACCCCATCTACATACATGTAGCAATATGTATCAGGGAAACAGTTTGACTTTATATAATCCATCTTCAGGACTTCAAATCTCATGACGTAAGAAACATGTCTACCAAGACTCGAACCAGATAACTTCTGATTACGCACCTATAACTTTATTGCTACGCCATCGCGATCGCTTTCAGGTTGTAATATGTATGAAGTGGAGCAATAGCTCAGTCAATTCAGTGACTATGTTACGAGCTGGCTGACCGATTGTGGTTTGATTCCCGGCAGGGTGAAAAGTTTATTTCTTTATTCACAGCGTCTAGACCAGCTCTGGTACCTACAGTGTCTCCTATCCAGTGGGTACCAAGGTGTATTTTCTTCGGGGGTAAAGCGGCCGAGGAGTGAGGCTGACCAATTAACTCAACCTAGTGCCGAGTTTAAGCTGTGTCTCTTCTTGGCATGTTGTTTAATTAGGCACTGGGACAACTATGCCTTTTTTTTTTTTTGCTGTAAATTTTAAATTTGACCTCTACTGAG